CTGGGGTGACACTGGCAGGGACATTGGAGCATCCCTGGGGTGACACTGGCAGGGACATCAGAGCATCCCTGGGGTGACACTGGCAGGGACATCCAAGCATCCCTGGGGTGACACTGGCAGGGACATTCAGAGTGTCCCTGTGGTGACACTGACAGGGACATCAGAGCATCCCTGGGGTGACACTGGCAGGGATTCGAGCATCCCTGGGGTGACATTGGGCAGGGACATCAGAGCATCCCTGGGGTGACATTGGCAGGGACATTCAGAGTGTCCCTGGGGTGGTGCTGTTCATGGACATTGGAGCATCCCTGGGGTGACATCCAGAGTGCCGCTGGGGTGATGCTGGTGACATTTAAGGTAGAGATGGCCGTGCTGAGGCCTGGGCTGGTGGCTCTGTCCCCCAAAGGGACCTGCCCCTCTCTGTCACCCCTTGCCTCTGGGATATCCCCACTCCCATCCCCTCAAACCCCTCCAGAGGAGCAGTGACAAATCAGGAGGATAACGAGAAATTAATAAAGCAGCTGTGCTAACAACTAATGATAATGGCAAAGTCGTTAAAAAGGGATTCTTTACATGTTTTTAATTACAGCAATTAAGGAAGTCAATAAAAATCCCCTGTCCCACCCCCTCCTCCATGCCCCCTGCTTCCCTCAGTCTCCCTCAACTGCTGCTTGATTCCAGGCTGGGAATGGCAGCGGGATGGAGGAGCTGTGCCACACCTTGTCCCTGCAGCCAGGGCCATGCTGGGATGCTGCTGGCGCTGGGACATGTGACCGTGTTCACAGGGGGCCCAGGATGAGGGAAGAGACAAGGATTTGACTCCATGTTTCAGAAGGCTTGATTTATTATTTTATTAGATATATTACATTAAAACTATATTAAAGAACAGAAGAAAGGATTTCATCAGCAGGCTGGCTAAGAATAGAAAAAGAAGGAATGATAACAAAGGTTTGTGGCTCAGACTCTCTGTCTGAGCCAGCTGGGCTGTGATTGGCCATTAATTAGAAACACCCAACAGGGAGCAGAGAGAAGCTGAGGAGCTCTGGGGCTGGGCTCTCCCTGCTGTGGCTGCAGCCTGGCTGTGGTGGGGACACTTG